GCGCGCTGCTGGAGGCGCCGCCGCTGCGGCAGTGGCCGGCCCCCGCCTCAGTATGCGGGCGCTGCGGCTGCGGTGGTTTGCTGCTGGGGGTGGAGGCGTGGGGGCGTCTGGCGGGGCCCCTTGGGTTTGTTGGGGGGGCCCCCTGTAGAGGGGGGGCCCCCTGTAGGGGGGCCCCCGGGGCTGGTTCGCGCAGCCACAGCTCCAGGTGTACTGCTGCTGCTGCTGCTGGCGGGCTGGGGGCCTTCACCTCGCTCTCGCATACAGTGCGTCAGGTGACACGCTGTGCGTTGGCTTGTCTCCTGGGTGTTGTGCGTTGGGGTCTTGTGGAGGAGACAGCTGCAGCGGGGGCTGTCTCCGTGAATCCTATGGGGGCCATAGAAGAAGAAGCTGCAGCAGCAGCAGCAGCAGCAAAGGCTGCAGCAGCTGCTGCACCTGCTGCAGCTCATCCGCAGACGGCTGAGCCAACTGTTGCTGCTGCTGCACACGAGGCCCCCCAAGATGCAGCCGCAGCAGGAGCAACAACAGCAACAATCGTAGCAGCAACAGAAAACGACTCGCCGCCACAACAGAGCTCAATTCGCCCACCCAGCAGCAGCAGCAGCAGCAGCAGCAGCAGCAGCACGTACACCCCACCGCCCCCTGAAAGAAGCAGCGCCCCCAGCCAGACCGTAGCAGCTTTAAGGGGCCTGGGCGAGGCCCTCCCATCGCTGCCTGTGGGGCTGCTGGAGCCCGGGTTCTCTGCTGCTGCTCTTCGTCTCGTCCACCCCTTGGTGCTGCTGCTTGCGGAGACGCTTGATGTGCAGCTGCAGCAGCAACAGCAGCTGCAGCAGCAGCAGCAGCAGCAGCAGGAAACACCGTGCTGCTTTTGCTTCAACAAGAAAGAAAACGAAGCAGCGGGCCAGGAATGCACCGCCCTGGCTGCATCTGCTGCCATTGTTGCGAGACGCAGCCAAGAAGCAGCATCAGCAGCAGCAGCTCCAGCAGCAGCAGCAGCAGGTGCTGCTGCTGGTGTTGCTGCTGCTGCTGCTGCGGCTGGTTGGCCTTCATCGCTGCAGCCAGATAGAGGGGTCTTCTGCAGCATCACCGCAGCCCCAAAGCAGCCATTCCAGTGTACAGATACAGCTGAGCGAGGTGCAGATACACCGCAGGATGCATGCGCTGCTGTTGAGGGTTTCGAGGGTTTCGCGGGCCAGGTGCTGAGGAGGGGCCCCCAGGCGTTGCTGCTGATGGCCCCCGCGCTGTCTATGCTTGCTGCAGTTGTGGGCAGCAGGGAGCGGCAGCCACAAATTGCTGAGGCGCTGCTGGCCCCGGTGGAGAGACGAGCAGCAGCAGGGGGCCCCTCTTCTCTTGCTTGGCTTCTTTGTAGGGCCCTGCATGCGCTGCTGTCTCTCCGCTCTGACCTTGCTGCCTCTCAAGCCTCCCAGGGGGGCCCCCTGCCCGTTGCGCGCTGCGGCTGCGGTGCAGCAGCAACAGCAACAGCAACAGCAGCAGCAACAGCTGCAGCAGTTGCAGCAGCAGCAGCAGCGCCAGCAGGAGCATGCAGCGGCTGGACGGTAGCTGCTGCAGCGCGAGAGGGAGAGAAGGGGCCCTGCTGCAGCTGCGAGAGACAGAGCCAGGCGCTGCTTAGTGGGTTGTTTGCTGCGCTGCAGGCTACGAGCCGTCAGTACCCACAGGTGCTGCTGCTGCTGCTGCTGCTAGAGGGGGGTGATGGGGGGCCCCCAGCAGCATCTTCTGCTGCTGCTGCTGCTGCTGTTTGTCTCCCCAAGGAAACCGAAGGCCCCCTCTTGCTGCTGCTGCGCATGCTGATGGCTGCGCCCTGTCTCCACCTCCGCTGCAGGGGGGTGCAGCTGGCTCTTGACCTTCTATCATCTGCCTCTCAGCAGCAGCAACGGGACGCGCGAGGGGGGCCCCCACCAGACCCTCAGCCCAGCGGCAGCCCCCTCTCGGGGGCCCCTGGGGGCCCCCCATACTCCCCTCTCCATAGACAACGCGCTGCCCTCGTCGACCTGCTGCTGCTGCAGCTCATCAAGCCGCTGCTCAAGGAGAGGCCCCTACCCACTGGTGAGGCAGCGGCAGGCCCGCAGCAGCACCATCAGCAACAGCAACAGCAGCAGCAGGACCAACAACAACAGCAACAGCAACAGCAGCAGCAGCAGCAGCAGCAGCCAGAGCTGCTGGTGAGCGCATGCGTTTTCCTGTGTCGGTTGAGACCAGAGGAGTGGCGGCGGTGTCACCTCCTCAGCCTGGGGGTGTTGGGGGCCCTGAGGGGCCTCGTGGCCCCCGAGAGGCCCCGCAGCGTCCGGGTTGCTGCAGCAACGGCATTGGGGGTCTTTGCAGCGCAGACGCAGGGGCTGCAGCAACAGCAGCAGCAGCAGCAGCAGCAGCAGCAGCAGGAGCTGGAGCAGCAACAGCTTGCAGATGCTGGGGTGGGGGGAGAGGAAACAGCAGAAACGGCAGCAACTGCAGCAGCTGCAACAACTGCAGCAGCTGCAGCAGCTGCAGCAGCTGCAGCAAATGTTAGAAGATTGCCTCAGCAGAGCCAGCTGGGTGACGGAGCCACCCTCCTCAGGGAGGTGCTGCTGCTGCTGCT